CTGTCAGTCAGGAGGCAGACTTGCAGAATGCGCCCTTTGGTGGTATAATTTATTATATATGCCTGAGCATTTTTTTAAAAAAATGAGCTAAAGCGAATAGAGGGAAACACTGTTAACTGATGGTACATGGAGGGGATTATATTCATTGTAATGAAACGAGGTGTATGATTTGTTGTATGTAAAACTGATATCTGCCCTGTAAACTTACTCAATCCTCAATACAAACCTTGGGGGAAAAAAAGGCATACATACAAAACCAACCGTCAACATTATTCTCAGTGGAGAGAGACTGAAAGCTTTCCCCTTGAGAAGGGGAACAAGACTAGGACGCTCTTTCTCACCACTCTTACTCAAATTGGACTGGAAGTTTCTATCTAAAATAATAATACAAGAAAGGCAAATAAAGGTTATCCAACTTATTAAGGAAGAAGTAAAACTATCCCTATTCATCCTATACACAGAAAATCCCAGAGATCCAAAAGAAAGTAGCTGGAGCTAACACAAATTCAGTAAGGTGTATCAACATAACAAAAGTCAGTTGGATTCCTCTACACTAACAAAAACAACTCTGAAAAGGAAATAAGGAAGATAATACCATTTACAATAAACCCCAAAAGAATAAATATAACCAGGGACATAAAAGACTTACATTACACAGAAAAAACTACAAAACCCTACTCCAAGACACCAAAAGAAACTTGTTGTTATGTGCCGTGGAGTCGGTTCCGACTCATAGCGACCCTGTACAGGATTTCTGAGGCTGTAAATCTTTACGGGAGCAGAAAGCCTCATCTTTCTCCTGCGGAGCAGCTGGTAGTTTCAAACTGCTGCAAACCACTACGCTACCAGAGCTCCTTTAAACTTACGTGAAAAGAAAAACTACCATGCTCATGGACAGGAAGACTTAACCTTGTGAAAATATCAATACTACCCAAAGTGCTCTATAACATAATGCAACCTTGATCCAAATCCCAAAAACATTCTTTAACAAAGGGAAAAACTAATTACCAACTTTATATGTCAAGAAGGGAGGCCCTATACAGTAAAATTTTATTGAAGAACAACAAAGTAGGAGCCTTCAAACTTCTCAACTTTAGAAATACTACACAGCCACAATAGGCAATACAGCCTTGTTCTACATAACAACAGACATATAGATCAATGGAACAGAGTGGAGAACCTAGAAGTAAATCTATCCAGCTGTGGAGAGCTGATATTTGACTAATAGCTGAAGTTCATTCAGTGGAGAAGAGAATCTCTCTAACAAATAGTGATAGCAACACTGGATATTCATGTGCAGAAGAATGAAAAAGGACCCATACTTCACACCATATACATAAAAGTTACTCAAAATAGATCAAAGACATAAATCTTAAACTTAAAACTATAAAGCTCATGGAAGTAAAAATAGGAACAAAGCTAGGGGCCATAATCTATGGCTTAAATAGAATATCATGCAAAATAAACTTGTACAAGCAGCAGAAGATAAACTAGATAAATGGAATCTAATAAAAATTAAATACTTATACTTGTGAAATACTTCACGAAAAGAGTAAAAAGAGAGCTCACACACTGGAAAAGTTTTTGGCTATGACATATCTGGTAAAGGTCTAATCTATAAAATGCATAGAAAACTCTTAACACCTCAACAACAAAAGACAAATAATCCAATTAAAAAATGGGCAGAGAACTTGAAAAGACACTTCACTACAGAAGACATTTAGGCAGCTAACAAACACATGAAGAGATAATCTTGCTCAGTAGCCATTGATGCTGTTGTTAAGCGTAGTCAAGTCGGTCCCATATCGTAGCAACCCTGTATAAGGTTTCCAAGGAATGGCTGGTGGATTTTAACCATCAACTTTGCAGTTAGCAATCTAGTTTGGATCTTATAATGCCCACCAGGAGTCCATTGCTGTTGTTTGTAGTTAGGTGCCACCCATTAGGTTCTGTCTCATAGTAAACCTACACACAACAGAATGAAACAGTGCCTTGTCCTGCACCATCCTCACAATTATGTGTGAGCCCATTGCTGCTGCCACTGTGTCATTCCATCTCATTTTGAGTCTTTCTAGTTTTCATTGATCCTCCACTTTACCAAGCATGATGTCCTTCTCCAGGGACTGGTCCTTCCTGGTACAATGTCCAAAGTATGAAAGCCAAAGTCTCACTATCCTGGCTTCAAATGAGCATCCTAACTGTGCTTCTTACACACAAATTTGTCATTCTCTGGCAGTCCATGGTTCTTGTACTACTCTCTTCCAACACCATAACTCAAACAATAAATTCTCTTACTGTATGCCTTAATCATTGTCCAACTTTCACATGCAAAGGAGGTTATTGAAAATACCAATACTTTGTTCAGGCGCACCTCTTGAAATGGTTGAACATCAACCAATTCTTTTGGTACAATGACTCTGTGTAGTCTTTCCATCTTCTTTTGATGCTTTCCACACCATTTACTATTTTACCCATAAAGAACTTCTGTATGGCAATTAAAAAAAAATCTTTTATTGTGAATTATGTGATAGTTTACATGGGAGAACATCAGCTTTACATTCATCCTATCATATGTCATGTCATTGTCATGTTTACAATCCCTTCCATGCATCATCAAACATCCAAAGGGTATACCTCCACAAGCCTGTCCCCCTCCACCCCCGTCATCAGCACACAGCCCCTCTCGCTCCCTGGGTCTAGAGTCCCCAGTGGCTCCATCTCTCCATGTCATCATCTCTGTCTCCATCTCTGGCATCACTGTTTCTCTGAGTAGGGTCCCGCT